AACCTCCAAAAGAGGTAGCCACTGCGGCCCTCAGCCTTCGCCCTAAGAGCATGCCAACTGCAGCCTACCAGTCGGCCCACTAGTCACTAGGACCCCCCATTCTTCACGATCATTTCCTTCGGCCCCCCCCCCCTCTGACCTGGTGACGTCGCCGCCGCACCGTGCTGATTGCACCGCCCCCAGGCTTGTGCCGCTGGCCATCGCAATACCTCGGCCCGGTCCTCTTGATCCTCAATGGCTCCCTTTTGCTCACCACCTCTTTTGTGTCCATAGCGACCGCTGATCCATGGGCCCCAGCCTTTGATCGAATCCCCCTAGCGACCCCCCCGATTTCACTCCCCGCCTTTATCTGTCCTGCGTTCTGTACCCGTTGGGGGGGCGCTCGGGGGATTCGGTGAACGGCTGGGACCTTCCCCTCTCTCTCGCGTCGTCGTGCGTGCTTTCCCCCCGTGGCCCCTCCCGCATCGCCCACCTCCGCCACCTTACAATGCCGGCCCTGCCTCCCTGTCTGGGGGGGGCGCGGCTGGGAATGGCATCGGGGCAGCGCCAAATCCGCCGCGAGCAGCAGCAGGGGGATGGAGGAGGGAGGAGGGAGGGGCAGGGAGGACGGATCGGACAGATAGAGAGCTACACTTTGGGCGAGTGGATTAGTTTCTCTCGCGGATCCCGAAATTTCAAAATTAATTTTGGGCTATCGTTCCAAAATTTGTTTTGCCCGCCATTCGAGGGGGGTCATCGCGTTTGTCGGGTTTGCGAGGGCCTCGACGTCGCTAGCGAGAGTCGGCGTGGAATCAGAAATAACAACTCGCGATTAGGAGGCGGAGGCGGAGCGCGCATATCTTTTAAAATCCTCGAAACATCGTCACCAGGCGAGTTGCCCTGATCACGGGGGGGGCAAAGAGGATGGAGGGATCCAGAACAAGGTCAGAGGTCGTAGCGACCACCAGCGCTCGTGGGACCCATGATGGGCTACAGGAGGAACCCCCAGTGCCCCCAAAACGCCCCACGGGGGCCCCAGACGCCACGACCTCCAGATCGAGACCAGATGTCGTGGCGAGCAGGTGCGCTCCTGGGACCTCCCGAGCGCCCCAGGAAGAATCCAAGACCCCGCCAAGCGCTCCGGGAGACCCCCAAGACGCTACGACTTCAGATTGCGGCTGGAGGTCGTGGAGCGCTCTTGGGGCCCCCAGGGACCTCGTTGCGTGCCCTTGGCCGCAGTTGGGTCCCTTTCGGGCATCCCTGGGACGTCCAGCCTCCGCCGCCCTGAGGGCGGCTGGGATTTCAGTGGCCCCTGCCCTCCTGACTCTGCGGGGAGGCGCGGCGACGCCCCCGACCTGTACCCTGCCACTTTCGCTAGGTGCCGGTCTATACGTGCTCGCCCCGCTCGAGACATCCAGCGCGTTCAGAACTACCCTTAGCCAGGCGCTAGGTGTAGTTCTGTACGTGCTGGTTTCGCCAGGGACATCCTCACAAAACAGAACACTCATAGAACTACACCTAGCCAGCGGGGCGGGGTACATGTCGGGGGCGCGACTCGCGCTCCCGACGTGTACCGTGCCCCGGCCGCTAAGTGTAGTTCTGTACGTGTCCCCTTTTGGCGAAGCATCGGCTGCCCGTGCTGCCCATCTCCGAGGCCCCGTCCCCAGGGCCGCTCCCCGCCGACTTCCCACTTCCTCAGGCTCAGCGAAACCACCTGCATGGCCGCTGTCCTTTTCCGCCTCGCACTGCCCGCTGCCCTTCCCCGCCTCTGCCCCAGTATGATGACCCCAGTGTTTTCTGTGCTTTGGGGCGCCGCTTTGCCTCAGGCGTGATCTCCTCCCTCGTCTCGTGTCTCCGTGCCTTAGCAGCCTCTTTCATTATGTCCTTCCACTTCCACCTCATCCCCGTGTCTCGCCAAGTTTTGTAGCCGCGATCGGTTCCACGCGTGCCGTAAGTAAATGCCTGGCCAGACGCCCCACGCCTTCGAATTCTTTTCCGTGCTGGATCCCCCCTCCACGGATGAAGCGGCAGTTCGCGTTATCATTTCCTGTTGCAGCAGCCGTTTAGCCCCGCCGTGAAACATGCTGATAGTTGCAACGCTTGGCGCCCCACGTGTTTCGCATGACCAGCGCTCCCCGTCGTAGGTCGCGAGGCGGTGCCCGTCCACCCAGACCGACCAGCGCGCCTAATCGAATTTTGATTGCCCCCCTGGTCCCCGCAACTGGGTGGAGTTTTGTTAAGTGTCGTTTTTGATGTGTTCGAACGGAGGGAGGAGGGAGGAGGGTGGAGGGAGGAGGGGGGAGGGAGGAGGGACCAGGGAGGAGGAAGGAGGATGGAGGGGAGTGGCCGTCCTCCCTCCTCACTGCTCTCTCCTAGTCCATCCCCCCGCCTCTTCCACTGCTGTTCCAAATGGACATGACCAACCTCGGATTTCTACCTACCTTCAGATCGGCAACCTCAAGGCGATGCCAATCTTAGGGGTGTGCTCTCTTGAAATCGAGGGGACCCTTAGGACTGGTACCGAGGTATGGTGATGCCAAGCATAAGCAGGGATAGGGATTCAGTCAGCCCGCATAGTAAGGATGAGCAACTGTCCAAGTTTACCCCCAGCGGGCCCTCGGCGCCGACAACTGGAATTATACGGCCCACTTCGTACAGGAGGGCCGCCTAAGTCCTGGTAGACGCCATCGCCGCAGCAACGTGGATCTCCACTCGTTCCAGACGGTTCATGTTGATGCAGGAGTTTGTTCTAGGAAGGGAGGGGGAATGAGAGGAGAAGGACGAGGAGGAGGAGGATGAGGATGAGGAGGAGGAAAAGGAGGAAAAGGAGCAGGAGGAGCAGGAGGAGCAGGAGGACGAGGCATGCCCGCGACAGGGTGCTCCTGAGCAGTGCGCGCTGCTGGACGTGGGCTCACGGCAAACGGGTCTGCGCGCTTTGCCGTTGCATCCAGAACGATCAAGATACAATCCAAGCTGCCTCGACACAGTGTCCAGCGCGCGACGACCACCCCTCCGATGTCATAGAACGGGCGGCCTGTGGGGCGGTGGCGGGGGGTAAGGAGTTGCACGAATCCCCTCGCTTGTCTCACTTGCCTCGGTCTTCCTTGCCCTTTTGTTCCCATTCTGGCACAATCGGGCCTGACGAAAGGGGGGGATTGGGAACGGGGGGTTACGAATTCTGCTGCATGCAGCTGGTTTCGGCCCCACCGACGGGCCCATTCCTCGATACATGGCCGCCTCCGGCGCCGGGTGGCGCCGGGAAAATCAGCCACGCGAGCTGATTCTCCCCAACCCCTTTGCTACCCCTCCCTGTTCGCCCGGCCCGACACAACCGCGTCGACGGACCCACAGGGCTGCGCACGCCCTCGAAGAAGAGCCATGAGCATTCGTCGGGGGTGGACAGACCTCCTACCCTGACACGTCGATTAGTGAATTGCCCTTTTTCGGTTCTCGAGAGGGCGCCGCGGCCGTTATTTTCCAGGCTTGCGCCCGCCAGGTTTGGGCCCGAGGTCGTTTTCACTAAACCACGTTTTACTAAAGGGAGGTCTGTCCATCCCCGAATTCGGGCCGATTGCGCCAGGGCAAACACCCCAGCCATCACGGGCCGTCTGCGGCTGTCACAGAGGCATGATATGTTACCGGGTTTCGACGGATCGAGGCCCGTCGGGGTGTTCACCCCCTGGTGTTAGGTCGGGCCTGTCCCTCTTCAGGGGGGATATTCAAAAATCGTCAAAAAATAGTCTGGGGACTATTTTAAAGTACTTTTGGCAATTTCGGGGCCTTTTTGCGAGTATTTTTTATTTTTCGTCGAAAATTCCCCTGTAGGGCGGACACGCCCGACTTAACCTCAGCTCCTGCGGTACAGAGGTTCGACGCTGCGGTACAGAGGTTCGGCTACGTCACGCTCTCATAGAGTCCCATAAAATCCCTCCCTCCTCCTCCTCGTCATCCTTCCTCTTTTAGTGTTGCGTTGGGCAGACTGTGAGCGAAGCTCGCAGCGTCGTGCAGCAGTAAGCGTAGAACCCAGAGATAATCCAGTGCAGCTCAAGAAGGTGTGACAGAGTGCCAGAAGGTGAGAAGAGAGACGAAGGGACGTTGAAACAGGAGAGGTTCACAATGGAGCTTAGCCAGGATGCGCTGACGAAGTCAGCACACGCAAGGTAGCCCCCACCCATGACCAACTTCTCTACCCAAATTCCTTCCCAGGTCATGGCCCTCGCCTAGGGACAGTACGAAGTTGCTGAGGAAGCCCTCGCCGAGGGATTATGGGTAAATATGTTGGCAGCGCTCCTCCCTCCTCCAGCTCCGCAACCACTACCCTGCTCCATCAGCAACCCTCCTCCACATCGACCTCCTCCTTCCTCCTCCGTCTCCTCCTCTTACCTCCCCCTGCCTCCTCCTCGAGGATCGAGGGTCGATGCTTCTGAGCTTTTCGGACATTCGCTGAACCTCTGGCCCCCCCGGGGGGCCCTAGGAGGCGGCCCCCGGGGTCTCGACGGTGTCGAGCAGCCTCGAGCGCGATCCCCTGAGACTTGACGGCGCGAAACAGTTGCAACATCGCAGGAAGTCACGACCGCAGCCCTAAACCAGGTCGTGCTGCGGCATGTTTCGAGCCAGGTGGATCCGTGGGGTCCTGGGGCTCGACATGGTGCGAAACTACCCTTTTCGCAAAACATGAGACGCCAGACGCCAGAATCTCAGGGTCTCTCTCTGAGTCACCTCAGAGGTCAGGTCCCGAGCTGAACGGTGCTTTGGCGAGTTCGTGGACCGTTGCCCTTTATCTATGTCGTAGACGGTGCGAGGGACAACAACAGCAGCACGAGGACAGCACGACGAACACGAAAGCTGTAAGGGCGCGCTCCGCGTGCCAGGGAGGGGGGTCCAGCGCGGAGCCGAGAAATCCGCGCGGGCCTCCGAGTTTTTACGTTTGTGTCATCCCTCGCTCCCCTAGACTGGCAACACTGCTTAGCTCGAGCCCTGTTGGAGGTCGTGGTCGTGGGGGTCGTGGTCCCGCCCTGGAGGCGGCACGAGGCGGTCCGTGGGCCTCGGGTTGGCCTCGGCCGCGCTGGGCCTGCCCGCCCTGACGGAGGAGCGCCGCGGCCGCAGGGGAGGGAGGGGAGGAGGGAGGGAGGGAGGGGAGGGGAGGGCTGGGTCCTGGGAGTGGGATTGGGGAGGGAGGAGGAGGAGGAGAAGGAGGAGGAGGAGGAGGAGGAGGAGGAGGAGGAGGAGGACGCAAAGAACAAGGAGAACGAGGAGGAGAGGAGGAGGAGGAGGAGGAGGAGGAGGAGGACGAGGGCGACGAGGACGACGAGGACGAGGACGAGGAGGCGGGAGGAGGAGGCGGGGAGGAAAGGGGAGGAGAGGAAGATGAGCAGGAGGAGGAGGAGGAGGTGGAGGTGGAGGTGGAGGAGGAGGAAGAGAAGGAGGAGGAGGAGGAGGAGGAGGAGGAGGAGGACGAGGAGGAGGGAGGAGAAGGAGGAGGAGGAGGAGGAGGAGAAGGAGGAGGACTGCGGCTGGCGGGGCCGCTCTGGCGGTGCACGGCACTGCTGGCTTGGCGCTGGGTGCGGCGGCCGCTCGGTTGTTGCGCCCCGCCGAGGGCCTTTTTCGGGCCGCGGCGGCGCTGCTCGAGGCCGAGCTTCGGACGGCCCACCCTGCGGCCGCAGCCGGAGGAGGAGGAGGAGGAGGAGGAGGAGGAGGAGGAGGAGGAGGAGGAGGAGGTGGTGGTGGTGGTGGTGATGGACCTGCTGAGCCACCTAGCGCTTCCGCGGCGGCAGCCACGCCTGGCCAGCGGCCATGGCGGCGGCGCCGCCGATCGCGCTCAGCGCAGGATGCGCCCGTGTGGCGGCTGGCTGGCGGTGCAGGCGGCGACGGCGACGGCTGTGGCGTCGAGGGCGATGGCTGGGCGGACGGCGTGCCCCGCCCAGCGCCCTCGGCCGATGCGCCCGCCGTGGCTCTCGTCGCCGCTGTTGTGGCGCTGGAGGCAGTTGGCGTGGCGCCCACTCGCGAGTCGCTTGGAGCTGGGCTCAGCGGCGAGGGGGTGGGGCGCGGAACGGCCCGCGGAGGGCGAGCTTGCGGCTGCTGCTGCTGCTGCTGCTGCTGCTGGCGCGGCGGCGGAAGCAGACGGCGTCGAGGCCGCGTTGTAGGCCGCGCTCGTCGCAGCGTGGGTCGCGACGCCGGGCGCCTGCGCGGCCGCCATCCAGCCCCCTTTGCTGGCTGGCGTATGGCCCGCCCCCGCGCCTGGTTTGCCCAGGCGGCGGAGGCGCCCAGCACCGGAGCGGGGGGGGCTGCAGCGGAAGGGCCGGCGATGGTGCGTCCCCCCCGCACACGGAGCTCGCCTGCGGCCACAGCTCCTCTTCGTGTTCGCCTGGCGTTTGTCCGTCACATGTGCGCGGACGTCTTGTTCGTGTTCGGTCTGACTCGATCGGGGGTAGACAGAACCCCCAACAGTGACACGTTGATTGGTGAATTCTCCGTTTTCGGTTCTCGAGAGGGCGCCGCGGCCTTTATTTTCCAGGCTTGTGCCCGCCAGGTTTGGGCCTCAGGTCGTTTTCACTAAGCCACGTTTTACTAAAGGGTGCTCTGTCCATCCCCGAATCGAGGACGTGCGCCTACGGCTGCCGCGCACGGCGTCGGCCCCCACCCCTTCCCCCTCTTCTCTGCTACGATGCCTCTCTTGCCGTTCCTTCTGCCTCCTCTGTTGACGTCTGTCGCTTCGTCGGTCTGCCCCCACTTTGCAGCTGTCCCCATCTGCCGTCGACCCCTGCAGGTCGGTGTTCCAGGGGTCTCCGGGCATCCGATTCATCCTCATCGCTTCCCCGGTGCCGACCGGCCCTGGGGAGGAGGCCGCTTTCGGTTTCGCTCCGTCTCGGCTCTGGCCCGTTTCGGCTCCATCGGTCTGTTTCGGCTTTGGTCCGTTTCGTTCCGGCCCCTTCCGGCTCCGAAGCGGTCCGGTTCGGCCCTCGTCCGTTTCCGTCCCTGCCCGTTTCTTCTTCGGCCTGTTTCGTTTTGGTCCGTTCGGCTTCTGCCCGTTTTGTTTTCGGGCCGTTTCAGTTGTCAGGTTCGCGCTCACACCAAGGCCGGGAAGGCGAAACGGTCCGAAGCCGAACCGGATTGAAGCCGCAATGGGCGGAGCGGAAACGGGCAAAACCAGAATGCGCTGAAGCTGAAACGGGCTGAAGCCGAACAGGCTGAGGCCGAAACGGGACCGAAATCGAAACAGAGTTGCAGCTGAATCGGGGCCTTGTCCTTGGACGGCCACTCGCCCAGAGGAAAAGTACTCGCCAGAGCGGCCGCGGGAAGCATTGCGCGGGCAGATCGACGGGGAAGGGCAACGCAGAGGACGCAGGGCAAGAGAGAAAAAATTCGGGGGCGGTGGGCAAGGAAGGAGGCATAAAGGCAGGCCTCGGAGGAGACTTCGCGTTGCTGCTGCCATTCCTCTTCCTCGTCCGTCTCCTCCTCCTCCCGTTCCCCTTCCTTCTTTCGTATTCCTGCTGAATTTTGTCGTTGGTCCAACGCCTCCCCCCCTTCTTCCTCCTGCTCATGGTGCTCCTTCTGCTCGTGCTCATGCTCGTGCTCCTCATCCTCATCCTTCTCCTTCTCATCATCCTCATCCTCCTTTTCGTCCACCGCATCGTCACCATCATCAGCATATTTCTTCCTCGTCCTCCCCCTCCCCTCCCTCCACGGCCTAATCGTTATACATATGGCCGTCGGTCAATGGCGCCCGATGTTGCTCCTCGCCCTCTTTCTCGCCATCACTGTCATCATCGTCGTCATCATCATCACCATCATCATCCTCATCATCATCATCATCGGCTCCGTTCTCCCCTCGCTCCCGCTGCGTTTGACCGTCGACCGAATGGCCTCCCTCTCCAGCCCCTGCTCTTCTCGCTCCTGCTGCTGGTGCTTCTCTTCATCCTACTTCCGCCACGTATCACTCCTAGTCCATGTGGCGTCGGTCGAGTGGCGTCCAGCTCATTGCTCCACCATCTCCTCATTTCCGCTCCATCTGAACCTCGGTCAAATGACCTCCTGCCCCTTGTGCTCCTGGTGTTGCTCCTCCTCCTTATCCTGCTCCTCCTCCTGCTCCTCTGCTTCCTCGCTCCTGCTCCACTTCGCCGTCGGTCAAAAGACCCCCCCTCCTGCGCCGTTTTGCTCACCGTGCTCTTGCGGCTGCGCCTCCTGGTCCTCGTCTTGCTCAATTTCACTCCTGGCTCACGGTGAGAAATTCTCCTCTTCCTCCCCCTTGCCGCATCCTGCGCCTGCATATGCTGCTGCTGCTCCTCCTGTTTCGCCCTCGTCCTCACCCTCTCGGCTCCTGCTCTCTTCGACTGTAGGTCCAACATTCTCCATCTCCCGCCTGCTCCTCTTGCTTATCCTGTTTCTGCTGCGGCTGGGGCTTATCTTTCTCCTCCGTTCTCTCCTGCCCCACCTGACCGTCGGACAAGTGGCCCCTCCCCCCCTCTGCCCTGCTTGCCCCTGCTGCTCTTGCTGGGAACGCGGACGGGGGGAATGCAGGCAGAGGAGGCGGCAGCGGGATGAAGCAGGGAGGGGGGGGGGGCTTGGGACAGAGACGGACGGTGGAACGTGCGAGGAGGAAGGGGAGGCAACCCACGTCAGTTCGCCATTGTTTCCTCGCGCCTTGAGGAACGCCTCCGCAGACGACCGCCTGTCGGAGCTACGGCCGAACGGCGCGACGAACGCTCTGTCAAGCTTCGTGGGGTCGGGCGGCCGCGGCTTCATCTGCACCTCCCAACCTTCTGGCAGGTGGGGCGGGGAGTACTGGACCTTCTTGGCCTCGTTGGCCTTCTTGGCCTCTGACTTGGCACGCGCCGCTGCGTCGGCCATCGGTGCCTTGCGATCCATCGCTGGCGTTCTCGCGACGGCCTTCGCATCCGGGGAGGTTGGGAGGTGCAGATGAAGCCGCTGCCGTCCGACCCCACGAAGCTTGACAGAGCGTTCGTCGCGCCGTGCGGCCGTAGCTTCGACGGGCGGTCGTCTGTGGAGGCGTTCCTCGAGGCGCGAGGAAACGATGGCGCCATGACGTGGGCTCTCCTCTTCTCCCCTTCCTACTCGCACTTTCCACCGTCCATCTCTGTCCCACGCCTTCCCCCTCCCCGCCTCATCCCGTTGCCGTCTCCTCTGTCGGCGTTCCTCCCTCCGCGTTCCCAGCAAGAGCAGCAGGAGCAAGTGGGGCAGAGGGGAGGGGGGGGGGCGCGCGTCCGACGGCCAGATGGGGCAGGAGTGAACGGAGGAGAAGGATAAGCAGCCGCAGCAGAAACAGGATGAGCAAGAGAAGCAGGAGGGAAATTGAGGGCGTTGGACCTACAGTCGACGAGAGCAGGAGCCGAGATGATGAAGGCGGATGAGCAGCAGCAGCAGCAGCAGCATGAACAGGCGCTAGAGGGGCAGGACGGAGGAAGATATCGGCTTTTGAACGTGAGCCCGCTGTGAAACTGAGGAAGATGCGAGGAACATCAGCAGCAATCACATGAGGGGCAACAACGATCAGGAGGGGGGATAAGGAAGCCATTTGACCGACTGCGAAGTGGAGCAGGAGACAAGGGCAGGGGGATGATTATAATGAGGAGCAGCAGCAGGAGCAAGATGGGGGGGCAGGACGGAGTGTAGGGAGGTCATTCGCCCAAGGTTCAAATAGAGCGGGAGTGGGGAGATGCTGATGATGTTGGTGATGCTAATGAGTTTGCTGATGGTTTTGCTGATGGCGATAGGGGTGGAGTCGATAAGATGGCGATGGCGACGCGGGTGAGAAGGAGGGGGAGGCGCAGAAACAACATCAACGATCATTGCGCGGGAAGCCATTCGACCGACGGCCAAATGGAGTAGGAGTGAGGCGTGGAGTGAGGCGCGTCGGAGATTCGAAGATAAAACCGAAGAGCAACGGCGGGGGCAATCAGAGCGGGGGCTGGAGAGGGATGTCATTTTGCCAAGGGTCAAATGACGCACAGTGATGATGATGATGATGGTGCTGATGATGATCGGTCGGGTGACGGAATGACGCATAGTGATGATGTTGATGTTGATGGTGAGGAAGAGCAACATCAGGGGATCTCTAGGCCACGCGACAGA